TTTTTTTGTATTGGCTGTGCGTGTTTGACCTGATCTCTCCTGCACTGCCCCCCTCTTTGTCTTTGTCCCTCAAGTGCTGTTAGCTCAGCGATTCTCTTTCAGTTCACTTCTTATTTAGGTTAGATGTACTCAAGTGTTATGGCTTCCTCGTTTGCTAAGCAGCAGGATTTTAAAGGCGCAGATTCCACCACTCCTGACCACCCTGTTTTTTCACTTGTTGCACTACCATTAGGTCTATTAACATTGGTGTAATCTGCACAGATACATGCATTTTCTCAGTTTTTTATTGCATGTATTAGGGGTGCAGTGCTGCTTTGCAAACTGATGCTTGTGTGTGTTTTCTTTTGTAGATTTGTGGCTTATCACATGTCCCAGTTGTGTGTGAATAGACAGGTTTTTCAAGTGATTAAAAGGGAAAACAAATGTAAGAATGGGAGGTGAAAACACAATTTTTAGCTGTAAATAATGAGAGTGAATGTAAATGTGTAACATCAAATTAAGTTCACTTATGTGGACATTGAACTGTCTGCAGTCATTCCTGCTATCTTGCCTCACGTCTTCCTGGATTCACATCCTACTGAGGTGTGTGTTTATCTAGTGTAACAGAAGTAGTTCTCCATAAATACGGTCTACATTTGAGTATTACTTCCTTATGTTCTGGTAAACACAATCTCCTTTCCAACAAAATGGGATTGACAGTATCAGCATTGACTCTTTTCTTTTCGTTGATCTTTTTTGAGGGGGAAATTTGATTCATAATTGCATTACAAGTCAACTTTAGCTAAAGGTGCAGGCTTGTTCTGACTTATTGAAGTCAGGACTGGGAAAGAGTGGGGTGGGGCTCTAACACAGTGGTGTGACCAGGAGGAGCATTAGCGGGAGAGACGTTGGGGGTGAGGCAGGTTTGAGCGTTTGTACTGTGTGAGTTAAAGTGAAACCTTATTCTAACTTTTGCATCTCTGCAGGTGAGACAGGCTGATTCAACAAAAGCTTCTGGATGCAGTGTCTCCTGGGGCTCAGGTGAAAGGTAAGTTGAGCTTTCAGCTGCTGGCCCACTCTTTAATTTCTTAGTAATGAATACACTTAGCTAAATTGGATAGCCATCTGTTTTAGCTTCAGTTAGTCAAATGGTTTGTATGTGCTGTTAGCATGTTACAGTCCAGGCTTGTATGTGTTTGAGTACTTTAACTGTACTTAAATTTGTGAACTGATTTTCTCAGTCCATCACCCTGCTTTCAATATCTGACACCAATGCGAGCACATTTTTACCCAGCGTTGCCAGGAGGGATAACTCACTTTCTGAGCAGAAGTAGGGCACATCTCTTAAGGTGTGAAGCAGACTCTCTGTTTCAGCCAGTTTTTATTACATTTAAGTAGCATATTTTCTGTCTACAGCTATTTGTAGTTAATTATCAAAGTGTTGGCTAGAGCAGTAAAGTCTGTGTTTGTTCTGTGTTTGTGTGCGCTAGAGTTTGTACACCATGTGGCTTTAGAAGAAGAGAAACCGTTAGAAGTGAGATCAGCAGGTTACAGGGTGTGTCTGATTCGCTTGGTTCAGAGGGGAATAAGTGAGGTTTCACAAGGACAGCTGGCCTCAGATGGATACTTCTGAGAGATGGGCAAAGCCCTAAAACAGGCAGTTTGCCTGGGGAACATGGTGGTCTCTTATACAGAGGCAGGATGTAATTACTAGTTACTGGCTTTTTTCAGTCTTCTGTATTACACTGTGTATTTTTGTCTCTCCTGGAAGGATAAAAATATCTTTGTACACGTTTGCTGTACAAATTACAGATTTAACTTAGCTTTTTTGCACATCTGTCTAGAAATGGTGACTGTGGATTTTTATTTACTTAACAAATGTAGCCTTGTTACTGTGAAAAATGTCACTTTGATGTTGTGGGAATAATAATATTAATAATAACAACACAGTAATCTTACTTTACTTTTAGTGTGCTGAAATTGTGTTGTCATTATGTAGGTTAGAGGTACTGCTTTGTGTGTCTGCGTAGCCCTAGGGTGGTAGTTATAAAAAGAGGCCAACTCGGTTCAGTACGGAAAAGCTCAGAGATTCAGCCATGCTAAAGTTGTTTACGTTGGCATGTGCTTGGAGCATGTGTGCTTTAACAGCAAATTACACATTAACCAGACAAATCCGGTACCTAGCAGCTTACTCCATGGCTGAACAGTCAGCGGGAAAATATTTAACCATTTCTCTCACAGATAACACAATTATGATTTGACTTGCGAAATATATGCATTTTTAAAGTCACGCTTTAGTTCAGTATTCAGTGTAATACAATAAAATGTGAGCCAATCATTATATTTTGCTTTCAAGGAGCCAGACATTCTTCTAATTTTTAAAGTGGTCCCATTTGTTCCCATTTCTTTAGCTGATTCAGTGAAAAAATGCCAAAGATGGCACAATTTGACGAGCAGAAAAGAGTGTTTTGCAACAGTGAGGTGATTGCCAAAGAGCTATTAGCCAAAAACATGGCAACACCTGGATTTAGCTGTCAGACATTTCTGGTGTTGTTGGGCATGCTAGGGAAATAATCAAATTGTGTTGCTATATCATGGATATTGTGAAATGGGACTTTTTTATCATGTAGAAATGTATCCATGTTATCACAGACATTATGATATACCACAGCCCTACAGTGTGGTGTTGACTTCTTAAGAGAATGGAACAAAAAGCTGCGATTCTTCTTCTTATCCTTCATGAAACTGCAAAGAAGTTTGCCTAAAAGAGTTCAGACTGTGTTGACGAATAAAGATAATCTTACCAAATACTGACTGGTTAGAATTGTACCAACTATTTTTGTCTTTGTGACTTGCATAGAATACAGAGTAATCAAACATGAAATTATTACATTAGATGTGATTGGGCCAAGTTACTCAATTAAACTAAAAAAATAAATACTTACTTGGCTCTTTTGCAGTTTAATTGCATGTATTGAGTCCAGTTGCAATTTGGATTTGAAATCTATTAACTCACATGCAGCCACTTTTACACCATAATTTAGTAGAATTAACATTTCCTACTTCTGACAACTATTTTTGTGGATACTAAATTATCCATAAACTATATGATTATCATTTTAACACCAGATTGCATCACAATACACACTGGGTAAAGATGTAAAGTGTACAAGGAGAGAAACACAAGAGCTCTTTATGGCATAGAAGTGGAGCATGAATGCAATTTTCTCAACATTTCCACTCTGCCACCTCAGCTTTGTTTGTCTCAGTCATTCCACACACACCAGTTTGAACACAGGGCGGTGATCACATTTTTGTTTACTCAAGTGGAGAGAAGGCAGACTGTTGTAATATTCTGTATCCAATATCTGTGTCAGTTCAAATCTAAAGGTAATTATGCTTGAATGATTAAGATGTGTTGTAGGAAAGTACTGAAATGTCAAACGCTGCACATTTAACCTGTTAGATTTTTCACACAAAAATCTAATCGTCTAAATTTCCAACCACATAACAAAAGACCATAACAATTAATGTTTTTCTTTTTTTTTAAAATATGGAAATTGTTAACAGTGGGATGAAATCAATATTTAGGCTTTCTTAATGCTTAAAAACAAGCTGCTTTGAGCGACAAATTACTGGATTTAGCATAACATGGTTGATTTAATGTTCTACATTAGCGTTCACAGGCTTAGTGGTTGGCACTGACCTTTCAAAACATGAAGGTCCTGAGATTGATCACCATCCATTGCCGATCCTTTCTACATGTAGTTTGCATGTGGGTTCTTTTCTTGTTTGTTTTGTTTTTTCTGTCTCCTGCGTGACTTTCCTTTTATCAGCGAAATTAATTTTTTCAAAGTGCTCTTCAACAAAACCTTAGAGAAGTAGAGTTGGTCCCCTGGCGCCAAACTCATCCTAGTTCTTAGGACGGGTTAAATGCATCAAATGAATTTCTCTGCAGGGATCAATACAACTTAATTTAACTTAGAGTAGGCTTCAGTGTTACACAATGTTTGCCTGGAGTCATTTCATCAAAGAATAGTTATACAATCAGGAGCTGATCTTGGAGTAATTAAAGAACAAATAAAATCCAAATTGGTTGTCAGATAGAATAAATTTAAGGAGAGCTGATAATGTCATCTGCATTGACTATTGTAGAACACCAGTCAGAGAAAATAGCACCCGACAGTCTTGTTTAATAAACAAAATAAGACCTAAGTTAATGAGAACAATACTCAGTAAATGTGATGTATATTTATTGTGCTTCTCGTGATTTGGAGAGAGGCCAGAGTATTGGTGACACGTGGAGCCCTGTAAGAACTGCCTACTCCAGCGGCCCCCAACCCCCGGGCCTCGGACTGGTACCAGTCCGTGAGTCGTTTGGTACCGGGCCGCGAGAGTTGAGGCTCAGGTGTGAAATGTATAGTTTTCAGGGTTTTTATCGGTTTTCAGCGTTATTTTGTTATCGTTTTTATCGTTTACTCGGTTTTCCTGGGTCTTTTCACGTGTGTTATGAATAAATTTTCTTTTTTTCGGTACCAGTACTAGTTTTATTTTGTTGTATTTATCCGCGACACCTTAAAGGCCGGTCCATGAAAATATTGTCGGGCATAAACCGGTCCATGGCGCAAAAAAGGTTGGGGACCGCTGGCCTACTCGGTATGAAACAGCATAATATGAGCAGAAATGATGCACCACTATGTGCACGCAGTTCAGTTACAGTGCCATTATAAATCTAAGGGCTGAGGTTCTTGCACATTGGCAAATAAAACAGAAACTGTTTACAAGGCTAAACATAATTAAGGCATGTGTAAAACTATCGAAGTAAAGAGTTTTACTATAAAACATTAGCAAAGACTTGAGGATATGATTAGTACTCCGGCTGTTTGTGTCAGTGAATAGCTGAGAGCTCCTGCCAGCATCATAAGTGTTCGTTATTGTGGGATTGATGGGGAGACAGAAAGAGGGCATGTGACAGACGAGAGACGAGAAAACAAAGTGGATGGACGATCTGTGAGAAGTGTTCATCTGTTGATTTCCCCTGAAGTCTTTCAAAGGACAAACCTCCTGACTATAACATGATGCAGTTCTTCTCCAGTTATGTGCATAGTCTTGCTTTTTACTGTCCTTTGTGTCATATGTGGGATTTCTATCCATGACAAACTGGTTAAATGAGGTCTCGTACAGTAAATTGCATTTTTATTTATGGCGTCTGTACAACACTGTTCTTTTTTCTTCTTCTTCCTTTTTTTGGTCTCTCAGTACAATTCAATTAAATACTGGGCAGGATGAACAGAAGTGTAGTCTGCCCTCATTACACTATGTTAATTTAATTCCTCATGTGACAGGACTATCAAGTGACTGTTTGGACAAAGGGAGGAACTTGTAGCAGGTTGACCCAATTACTTCTCATTAAATGCTTTACAAACCACAAGCTGTGGCACTGTCCATTCAGTATGCATATGAGATCACCCAGCGGTCCAGTACAGAGTAAACTGCAAGCAGCATTTTTTTTTTGTCCCAGAAAACGAGTTTTGCAGCTTGTAAAAGTTGTTTTGAACTCTGCTTGTTGTTCTCTTTTACTGTTCCTCACTGCTGGAATGAAGAATTAAAGGAGCTCCATGCTGATATGAGGAGGGTAGCAGGTCAGGGATTTTGTAACTCAGTTTTGTGAAGATGATTCCAACAAATTCAGTGTTGATTAATTTAAACAGTGCTCTCATTCAGCATTTGTACTGTTGGAGGTTTAAGAAAAACTGTTTGTTTTTTTTGGTTGCAAGTTTGCTTCTTAGTTTTATCGTAGAGGACAGGGAAGTACATAAAAACTGCTTTGCCTGAAGCAAAAGGAATTATGCAATACCTGAAAGTTGGCTCATAGATGTAAACAAAATCTCTTATTTCATGTGTCCACTACTGTGCAAAAGTCTGAAACCACCCTTCATTTCTTTATATTTACCTTTGAAGGAGCCATGGAAACATGCTGCCAGTGCGCTAAAAGCATACTTGGAAAGTGTTCCATTGTGTCTTTTTCTATTAGTAATAAATCAGCCA